GGGCTTAGTAAGCACAACTGAGCCGCCTGGACACAACGACGCTCGACGACGCACAATTACCCTTTTATGTACGACAACGATGCTCGAGGACAACGGGCACCATGGACACAGAACGACACAATAGGTAGTGGTATTCTTAGCAATGTCTGTATAGTATTTAAGACCGATAGCTCTCGCTGGTATACCCCAGCTTCGAGCTAAAGTTTATTCATACCATTCTACTCTCGAGCTGCTACAGCCTTGTGACACACCGCAGATAGTCAAACTCGTGGACTCGATTGATCACCCGAAGTGCGAGGTGCAATCGTTTATCACGTGACTCGCTGCACGTGATGCTTGGGCCTAACAGCTAGCTATAGCACTGTCATACTATATTTAATCTCCATATAAATATAGCTCAGATTAGTGGACTTGAAATTTTTTTTGAAGCTAGTCACTGGCTTGTCCTTTTGCTTTATCCACTTCTTGCTAGCTATAGCCATTTTCTCTAATGAATTCTGCCTACTCTTTCTGCATCTCATCCCATTTTTTGATTAGAAGCTCTGCATCAGTCAGCAGGCTTTAATAATTATCAAATTGTTGGATAATGTACTACTACACTTAGTGGGTGTAGTCTTTCTTCTGTTACTTTTCTCCTTCTTCTGTACTAATGTGTTTTTCTCAGGAAATGCTGCTTAAGATCACTAAGAAGGATATTATTAAATCTAACCAGCTATTCATTCTAAATCTCATTCTTTCCTGTTAGTGAATCATTAATACTCTCCAACACAAAGAGAGAGTGAGAGGTTGGTCATCATAGAAATTAACTGTTACTGAATGGCATGAGGTTCATTTCTTTATTCACGGCTATTATTCTATCCTAAACATCTTTTAAGCTAATGTCCTGAATGACTTTACTGAGCTTCCCAATAAACCAGAGACTCTGAAAGATGATAAGCTCTACTCTTTTCCTATAGCTCATAATTCAGAGCACCTCTCTTCAGCAAAGTATCACATTTCTCATCAATATTCAAAACAAACTGTGAAACCTGCAAAGTTTTGTAAGATGTCTAGTGATATGACCAGCTCCACTGAATGGAAGCACAGCTCTTTGTTGACCAAAACTCTGTCTGGCTATAAAGAACAAGGTCTATACTGCAAGAGGCTCACCATCAAACTTTGCTGTATGTTTTATCTTGCTTGCTTTCTCTTATTCCACAAGTTTGAAGCTGCATGGATAGAGCCTAAATTCACCCTAAAGGTCTCCAAGCCTTGAATGGTGGCCAAAATACCTGCACTAGATGGCTCTCAGGCTCTGGTATGCTCTTATTCCTTCTTTTCTTTCTGCTTGTCACTCACTAGTCCTGCTAGCCATCTTATGCATGTACACATTATTCTAGCAGCATCCAGGTTCAGCATGGTGTCTTTCAGAGGAGGAGTCACTGATGTTGCATCTGTGAGATCAGTAGCAAGAGCTTGTGCTCTTACTATGCCATTCTGCAGCAATGATATTCAATATGCAAAGAGTTGTCATCATTCATAGTGACCTCTCCAGAGAGTGAGTTTCTTCTGTACTCTATCTATATGATTGTTAGGCCTGAGTGACATATGATCTATAACACATGATAAATAAGTGCTGTATCATGTTTGTACAATCATGCTTAAGTCCACTTCATATGTTTGGAGATGTTTTATCCCAAGGTCAATACTATAGTTGACTTGAGTAAAGCAGTAGAATAAAAGATAGTTTGAGACTAGAGGTACATGGTGCTACCTATGCTGCTTATATACCTCTAGGTCTGTGGCTAAATATAATGCTGCTAATTATGAGTGTCTGTACTATAGTACTAGTTGTCCTGGTGAGTCCATATTATCTACAAAAGGCCTGTTGTGCTGTTGTTGGAGTGTCACTACAAGTTGAGAGACAATAGCCAATTGTGCTGACCAAGATTGTCCCATGGTCCTAAGTGCTGGTATAGATGCTCTGACTAAGCATAGGGGTTAATACTATAATAATAAGGAGAAAGGATGAAAAATTCATAACAATGATTCAGAGATACAAAACACCAAAAACACAATTCACAAATCAACAGATTTGAACTGCTGTAAACTTGGAATACAGACACACAAACTGATAATTAATCAGATCCAAGAATTTGAACCTCAGTGCCTGCAACCACTCAGAACACACAAAAACACTTTAGAGTACACTGATGCTCATGCATAAGATCACAAAGTATATTTTTCTAGATAGAGTACAATTAATATTAAACTTGTATCAAATAATCTAAGTAGCATGTAAGCTATATAAGCCCCACATGCATCTCAAATCACTCAAAATAATGTCTAAGTTCAATATATTCTCTTGCTAAACACTCCAAACAGATTTCTTTAGCCTGGACACTCACTTCTCAAGCTAGCATCATGACTGTGAAGGTCTGAAAACCCTTCTTTCTATATATACCCACTGTTCTTTTATCTACCATTTACTACCAGCTATGTGAAATATATTCACTGAATATAGTATTACTCCAGTCTAGATTCTTATTCCATGCATGCTATGCAGCCTGCAATGATAAGCATCTGGATTTTTACTCAGCACTTCAATCTAGAGCATGTCACTCTTTTGTTATTTTTCTCTTTGCTAGGTGTAGTCTATCATGTTATATCTGGCATAATTTCTGATTGATCCTATAGAAATGTTAGTAGTTTATTCAGCCTAAGTCTTATAGCATTACTAAGGATCTGTATCCTGCAGTAGATTTTATTTATGAACTGTAGGTATAAAAACTTGTTATAATTTTCTTGCTTATCTTATCTTATCTCACCATTATCTTATCAGAGCATCTATCTTATCTATATGAGACAATCATTATTTACATCAGGCAACTTGCACTATTATCCTGTGATGTGCAACAGATGTCTTATTGACAGACAATGCCTCATTGTCCCACTCTCAATGACCAGACATAATAACACTGTAGCATGATGACACATAATAAGTAGATACTATATTTATCAGACATGAAAATGTATATAAGTAGCATAGCTCTTCCTATAGTACTCCAGCTTCAAGCTAAAGTTTATTCTATACCACTTCTCTCTTGAGTCTAACTAGCATTGGCCTTGGCAGCACACCACTCAAATACACATAAGTGAACTCTAGTGTGATTGTATGAATACAACACAGCACTAGTTTATCATGTGTCTAGAGTTGTATATCAAGTGGGTCTAACAAAACTAGATACCAAAATATAGTAAAGATAGACACTTGCACATATTTTCTGACAAACCTCAAGTATTAACAGATATAGCATAAGAATAAGAACTAATTTCACTCTGATTTTCTCATTCTGCATACTACTGAAGCTATCCATTCCTACAGTATATATGTCACTATGCTCTCACTTGTCAGCATATTTTTATCAGCCAACTGTATTTTCTTTTACCAACCAGTACTATCTTAACTGTTTATTACTAACTTCAACTGCATTTTAGCCCATCATATTTGCTAAGTTTCAAGTCAAATCTCCATCTAGTTCAGTGTTCTTTGCATATTATTTAAATCAGTAGTTTCAGACTCCTAGCATGGACTATCTTGCCAATAATTGTGCATCTCTGGATATTCTCCAATAGTATCTAGTTCTCAGATCATACTGTAACTGGAGTACTTTTCCTCAAGCTATCTTCAGTTTCCCCTTATTTGTAGAAGGCTTTTGGTAGTAGAGTGATACTGTTTGCCTTCTCATCTTTATAGCTGAGATTCCTTCTGACTCTTTAAGTTCAGATTGTAGTATTTTCCTAAGGGTACTATATTTCAGACTGAAAAGTTGCCATGTATAACTTTCATTGAAGATACTGTCAATAGTATGAAAGTACACCAATACCTAGATTGCTGAGGTTGATTGTTAAAACCAGACTCTTGTTAGTTCTGTGTTTGTCATTATCATGGAGGTCTAAGCTTATCAATGGGTACAGTGGCATCCCTATTGAAAACATTGAGTAGCTTGCTGCTAACAGACTAGATAGAAAACACACTGTCTTTGCTCAGATACTCTTTAGCTGGAAGTTAAACCCAGACTTTGTCTTGACATGAAGGAGAGGCAATATACTACTAAAGACCAATGATTTTGAGGTTCAATTGAATGAGAAATTAGAATAGTGTGGAGCTAGTGAAGCCATGAAGCATGCTTTGAAGAATACTATGAAATCAGCATAAGGATATTCAAAGTCTAGGCCTATGTAGGAAACCAAAATGCACTTGCAGACTTTCATATTAATCTTTGGTGGAAATTTGAACCCAACTTACATGCACAAGTTTCATGACAAAGACCTTGATTAATAATATCTGAATACTCAAGAGAAGCAAATGAATACCAGTTTCTCTCTCATCAGTGGGGGGAGGGGGGACCAAAATGGAGCATGTGTGTCAACTAGGGCATATAATGATGTACACAGTAAAAGGGTCTGTTAGCATAGGAAAGAATCACCAAGTCATTTTCACACCAGAGAACTAGCCATTATGCATTTCTTGGTTACAAGTGGACAATTCCTTTTCTCTGGAGTTCATACATTTGAGTCTCGAGTTTCTTATGGATGAGCTATATGTGTGCTTTACTGAGCAGAAGAGGACCCTCTGGAAGAGAATCAAATCCGAACTTGGAGGAAAGAGAAACTTTGATGTTAAAGGGGAGCGGGTATTCGGATACGGCCCCATGACTTCGATTAAGATCATTAACTAGCTGTGGTATATAGTATGTACGGTGAAAAATTCACCGCAGTTCATGCATTCTTCCCCTTGAGAGTAGAACCCAAAGGAAGTAGAGAGTGTGTGAATTAACCAGTGTACCACGACGTTTACAATGTGGGTGCTTTCAGTTCATGTCGCTAGCAAAAACCCTCTTCTGTCTCTTCTTGAATGACCGGGACAGTGCCGCTATGTCGCTACGTTTGACTGGGATAAAATTGACTGGCTGTAATTCAGATCTGTGAATTAAAGCTAGCCAGATACACCTAGCACTCCAAGATATTTGAATTTCTTTTGGGGTGACGGACCCAGCAGGAGTCCGCATCAGATTCTTTTTACATATCTCAAGTTACGAGTGTATCCCCAAATGACCCCGAGCAAATGATAAACTTATTTTCCGACGAGAAACCTTTGCGCAATGCAATAGATGCATACGATACATGTCAATCCTTCATCAACTTTCTCAGTACGCCTACGTCCAGCCGGGGCTCAAAAACGACATTGAAAGGCAATGGGCGCATATTTGGTGAGTCTGTGAGTCCCATGGTGTTGACGTTCTCCGCGGAGATGTCGAAAGCCCACATGAGGAGGGCAGTGTTGACGAATAGGGACCTAATATCTATCAGGATTATAGGGCGATCAGCAAGGGTGGGGATCCTACCTATTTGCGACATGCATCCCCGGGCATACCCTGCGCCCAAACCCGAAGTTGTAGTTCTTGATGTCGTCGCGGATGGTCCCGTCAGGTGTGAGCCATCGTTGTGGGTCGAAGACCTCAGGGTTTGGAAATATTTTGGGGTCGCGGAATATGGACCTAGACGCGTGTATCAGAGACTCCATGATGGGAGGGTGTGTTTATCTCGCCCACCAGTGGTTCGGAATTACGATGGATCCTTTGGGTATCACATAGCCATTCTGTAATATAATGGATTATTCTGATGACGATGCTCGACACTGAAACATACCCATATGATATCCTTCGACGCACGGTGGGGAACGCCTTCATGCAGATAATATCGTGGCTTTTCTCATTCCATAAGCGAATGGGATACCCACCAGTGATAGAGATTGGGCGCCTGTTCCAATATGTCAGTCAACGCCAGAAACAAGAGATGAAGAGCATACCATCTGTATGTCTCCAGCACGAAAGCCGTCACTTCCGTCAGTTGATCGCGGTCCTCTAAGGTAGGGTCTGGCAGAGGGTAAGTGTGCCGAAATAGTTAAGATATGACAACATGTACATCGGTTATTGGGTCCTAAAAGAGCGTCGATCTGCACGCGGGCTTTCTTCGCCGTTTCTGGGTAACATGCTAGTGCCATAATGACGATGCTGATAGCCGAAGCGGTCTAAGACGAGATGCATCAGGAAGCGTTAAACGTAGGATGAGAAAAGACGCACGGTATCTGACCCAGCACCGAACATAGATCCCGCCAAATACGCCGCCTCGTTGTCTGATAAACCGTACACCGTCTGGTTCTTGATGAGGAACTTGGCGAAGGACGGGAGGGTGTCTTTTCCTGATGCCTAGGACCAACATTTAGTCGCCTCTTGGGACAGGAGACACGATATTCTTACCATTCCAGCGCGGACGATATCGATTTGAGATTTGAAAAGATCGAGCTCGCATTCGTGGAATGCACGTAGTTCGCGGAGATATGTGGGGATGTAGCGGAGGATGGGGAAAGAGTCGACGAGGTATGCCCCTGGTCGCATGGATCGTGCGACTTGGACAGTGTTTCTGTTTATGAGCTGTATTTCGGGGTCTGTGTACGAGGTCGGAGTGGTCTTGCCATAAGTGAGGGTCATGATGACGCTGGCAGCGTATCTACAAAATCAGGAACAATGAGAACGAGATGAAATCGGAGTAGGTTTAACGAACCGTCTCGCGTGGGTGATGTGGTCGGATGGGTTATCTAGAATGTCGAGGATGAAGTTTTTAGCGTTGCGCAGTTGGATGCCTTCGTAGGTGCGGGCTTTCTTCGTTTGGAGATTTAGGTGGAGCGCTCTGCGATGTGAAACGTTTGAAAAAGAAAGGGTTGACAGTGGTGGGTACAGACGTACTTATGTAGACGCCTCAGTCTGGGACCCGAAGATAAGAATAAAATTCGCATCCCTCCCGACATGATATCTGAAGCGGCGATTAACCTTGGACGATCCATTAATGAGGACCATTGGTTTTCCATAATTTCAACTGCAGCCTGTGCGTAATCAGTTTGTGATGAGGGAGTATATATGGTGAATCTACATCGTATCGGCCAATGACAATGAATGTCTGAGTACCCTTCCTCAAAGAGAATATCGGACCGTACGTTTTGGCCCATTCTTCGTACTGAAGGAATGGACTACGGGTGATTATGAGATAGGTAAACGGGTGTTCATCAAAGAACCTACAATTTCTCAGGCAATTCCGTGCCGAACGGCCAGTGGCAAGGGGGACCGGGCGGAAAGGGATAATTTGATGACGCCTTCCAGCGAAAGACGAGGAACCATACTGTGAGGAGCACTGCAATAACTGAGATATCGGCTGCTGTTACGGAGGTGATGAACATGATGTACGTGAAACGAAGAGAGTCCTGTGCCCATGAGAGGAGTATTCCGAAGGTCATGTCAGAAGGCGCTCACATGAACGACAAAAGCAGTATCTGGCACCTGCCGGGAACCTGGCGTTGCACTTGTCGTGTCATTAGTGTTCCAACGAAGGCAAGGATGAACCAAGCCAGAGGTTGCATGATGTGTAGAGTTCCCAAGCACCCCTTGAGGAGTAGGTGACATACTTATCAGAGGTCTGGATAAAGAAAGACGTGATATGTGTATTATGGTCCTGTCTGTGGGGGGAGTCATGATCGTTAAGAGTAAGTCAAACAGACATGGAATGAATGAATTGAGCATATCTTACACGTTCACTGAGAACCCGAAGAGAAGCTCGAAAACGTTCACGGCAATGTGTGTTTTAGTCCGTAAAGGGAAGGGCTCTGAATTCCTCCAATGACAGCATAAGTGGGATAGCAAATTGGGCTCCCCGAAACAGATATACTTACAATTGGTGGGTATTTTTCGAGGTGAGCATTCATGCGGGTTGTAATTTCTGAGATTTTCAGGTGGAGAAGGCGCGTAATGGCATCGAGTCTCGACACTTCGTAATCATTCCCTCGGGGACCTGATCTTCAGAAACAATGCGGTATTCGTCTGAAGCAAAGGTTTGCCTCGTGTCTTCGTGGCGGTCCGGAGGAAGTCCGACAAAGGAAATCCAACTTTGATCCGGACCTACGACTACCTCCTGCCCATCGTTTTTTTGACTTCTTATGCACCTTATAAGCTGAAGGTGTCCATGCTTGTTCGAAACAACCTTCGAAACCTTACTATAGATTAAGCGTTCAGGCTCATGTGCATCGCCCAGGCAGAGTTCTAATTTCTCATACCGGACTTTCGGCGTTTTGAGTTCGGCGGGGTTATGTTGAGCTACTGTGCTTTGCTCGGTGTTATGAAGATGGGGTGGGCGCGTTTGACATGGAGTCAAGAAAACCACGTATGTTCATGATCTGTGCTGGCAATGTGATCCTGAGACAAGTCTCACGACATTTCAGTCCACCGACCTCAACTTGTATCAAGACGACTCGTGCTCTTCTGCCAAAATGTATGGAAGAAGGCGCTATTGATTGATATCTTACACTCGCTGAAGTCTTGTGGACTTGAAATTCGAGTTTGATCTTCGCAGTTTCGGTGCCCGCTCGACAAATCAATACAAGGTTGCCATGGCAAAATAGATGCGGAGAGTTTCAGTCGGCGACAAGCAAGGACCTCTCCTTACCATCGTGGCGGACTCTCACGCTACTGGCGGACGTTCCAGAGTCCCGTCGCAGAATCCGTATATGTTCGCAACGAATGCCGCCGGAAACGTGCCATTAATGTTTACCGACGGTTTGATCGGTGACTCAAGCGACATTCAAGGAGCCGAAACGCGGAGCGGACGAGTCGGCGGAAGAGTATCTGAATTGGAAGACGGGCTTTTCTTTAACCTATGATGTGTCTTGAGCTCGTCGACCTTCGCAAAGGCGATAGCAGCAAGTGGAGGATGCACATACCGGAGAACTTTCTCCTACGTGTAGCTGGCTCCGACACTCTACAGCAGATTATGATTTCTATTTACTTCAACCGTCGACATACAAGACTTCGGTGATGGTTGCTGAGCCGAAGAGTCGACGAAGATGTCATCAATATTATTTGTCACAGCTTCATCTGTGTGTGGTCGTCCGTATCAACTTAGCGTATGCTAAAACACGATGTGCGGCCTTCCGTCATATGTCTGTACGTCTACCATTCATATCCTTCGTGTTGGCACATTCTGCGGTCGCTATAAGCTTATAACCCCCATTTTAATCAGCGTCTAGCTCTACGAAAGCATAATGCCAGGGCCGATGTCGACGCCTGATCCCATCTCTCACGCTTCTGTATCATTATTCAATGAGTCTTATAACTCAGTGCACCAGCCCTGTGTGTACTTCCTCACTTTGCGCGCTCTGCCTTCCACTGCCCCGTACGCGCCCATGACGTCTGCCCGCTCAATGTACGCCGCGCCGGAGTCTGGATCCCCGAGTACGTCTTCAGCGCCATCGGCGCTGACTGCGAAAAATAAGGTTCAGAGAAAATATCGCATCCCGCAGTTACTTCGCTCAACTTCATACATATCCAATACATTGTCGGATTTCTCCATCTCCGTCTCTCTTTCTTCCCACCCCCGAACGAGTGCTAAAGCCTTTTCTGTCATTTCTCAACTCGTGCAGCGTCGAAGGCAACAGTCGACGGACGCATTTCTTGCAAGAGTCATGCCCTCTCCTTCTGCTCAGTCTTTTTCATCTCCTTGCCCATTCTCCCCGGAGCATCGTCTCCGCCAGCTCGATAAACTTCAGCGCGTTCTCGGCGAGGAGATACCTTTGGAGCTCGTCCTTGGGCCTTCAGCATATCCCAGCAGCATCTCCTTGCCCTCTCATTCTCCTACATCGAGGTCCATCTCCCAACCCCGACTGCCGGACAATGCACCGCCTTCGCATAACCCCGACGACCACAGCCACCTGCGTAGAATGTCCTTTCAACCGGACACGCCACCGTCGCGTGCAGTTCCGGAACCATGGCTAGCCCATGCGCCGCCTTCGGATAATCCCAGACATCCTAGACGACGGCAAAGTACATCTTTGGCGCTGGGAAGTGAACCATCCTCTCCTCTCGACCACCACCATCGTTCGCAATCCTCTCCGGCATTTCAGCCTATGCATGCACATGGTTTGAGACCATCGCTTTCCATCAGTACCCAGGATTCTCCTGACAACGACCACACGAGCTTAAACTCAATTCCTGCTTCTGTTCACAGCCATTCAAAATCATCCCCCGCCGACCCGTTCTCTCCAACGTCAATATCGCCTGCAGAGTCCAGGCCATTCATGTCTCTCTCACATATAGATTCAGAGTGCGGCTCGGGTGCGATAGTGCCTAACGAAGCAAATGATACGCGTCATCCACGCGAGCTTTCTTGGGACATGTTTACGCCGACGTTTCCTCCACCGCGTCCGGACACGCCATTTCTGTCTAGCTGCGTCGTGGAAGGCGATGATGGTGGGGACGATGAGGTGCACCTGGGAATTAAGAAGGAGCGCAGGCAGGGATGGAGCGGGCAGTGGAATTGCGATGATATGAGGGAGGTTATTCAACGATTACGGGATTTGCGATAGTCGGACTTTTTTTGTTGGTGAGTTTTGATATTATTTCCTCAGTTAAGGTTGTGGGATGCTGACGGAGGTTTTAGAAGATCCATTTGCCTTCACTTTATTTTGGGGTTCGTATCGTCGTTTTATGCGTCGTATACTATAGCCCGACCATGTATTACTAGGGTCGATAATCCTAATTATGTGTGCACATGCCGCACTCCTAATATGTATCTTGCTACCTCATGCGGTTTTCGTATATTAATGTATAATACTTATCGTTTAATATCTAGTCTACTTCCCATGACAATGGTCACTTGAATGCGGAATTTGCATGGCACTTCATATTACCTAGCGGACATATATGCCGATAAGGACTCTCGTCCCATGTCCTCATGGTTCATTGGATTAGCACGCTCTTCTGGGGTTCAACTCCCTATCCAGTGTTCGTAAGAATCGTAATGACCTTTTTATGTGACGTGAGTTTCCCTTGAACAATGATGAGAACAGTATCAGTAATCGCTGAAATACATAAGGAAAAAGGTACCGTAAGGGCAACGAGTGACTGGAGCGACTGACAGTGTTAGACTTGACCCATAACTCTTGACCAGTGAAATTTGCGTGGTAACAAGGGTTGGTGAGGATGAAAAATATTCCTTTCTTACCTGGGAGTTGTGGTGGCCAATTCGTTGACACGAACTGACGCCAATCTAGCCAAGTTCGGATCCCAGTCCCGAGACGGACTCGGAGCTCCATGAAAGAGTTGTAATGGCTGTCGTCGTTTTTGTCACGCAGGGGAAGAATGAAGTACGAATAGGCTCGACGAAGAGCAGTCTCATTCGTGCCTCGGTCAATCACAGTCTTCTCAGGGAAGCGTCTTTGTGATGGCTTCAAGTTGACGATGACAGATGAGTTAAATCTGGAACGTACATAGTAGCAATCTGCCTGCCATGACCGACTCCCCCATCAGATCAAGATTATTCCATCAATCAACGTCCTAAAATAAGGGACAACCACGCAGGACATCGCATCTACGATTTCCAGGGAGTCCGCATCTCATCGCTAGGCCTCGGCGGAGGATACTGTACAAAAAAAACTGGAGAGCGTAGCCTTAGTGGTTCGGAGCACGTGAGTTGTTTTTACTCCCTGAATGTACGATTACGCCACTAGTAGCTGTTTCTAGTAGAACAATGGGGAGATCACGCGCCGGCCATTGCGTGAAACCGGGGTTCGACGCCCACTACACGATCGCAATAGATGCATTCGCATAACTATTTTTCTGGTGGTTTGTCTTGGTTTAGTCGGGAAAACGCCGCAGGAAGGTATGTCTGGTTTTGGACGCCATCGATAGTGGGTGAAGCTATGTCATCTCGATCAGAGTGCGTCCTGCAGATATCGTGTGAGTTTTTATAGTTTAATATGCTAGGTCTTCCCACGGATGTCGAAGGGGATTCCCTTTCTTCAAAGTAAGGTCTCACATTCACAACTAAGAGGCTTTTTTATGGGTACTCTGTACAACAGGAAGTTAATCTGAGTTGGCTATTGATATTCTCGAACGGTAGCATGTAAATGTCGGCCACAAAATATGGGCAGAAAATGACTCCGGAATGATAAATCTTTTGAGCTGTATATGCGATTCAGGATATACTCTAAACGTTCAATAGAAAAAAGTACCGACTTTGTCTCGTATATTTCCATGTCGAATTTTCGAAAAAGGTTCCCGAACACGAGATAGAGCTCGCACCATGCAAGGCTGAGTAGACGAAGAAAAGATTTCTTATAAATACTAGCAGGGGAGCTGTTGAGGTACTCACTTCATACCCAAACATGCTCGAGGACCTTTGGAAAACGGTACGAGATACTTATCCAACGATGGCGATTCGATCCACCGATCTGGGTTGAAGACCTCTGGCTCCGGAAACATATCCTCGTTCATTAGGACGAACGAAGTCCCCATCCCAACGACAGTCTGCTAGACCTTCAGTCTACGGATTCGTTGAGAGAAGCACAGGGCAGCCCACCCCTGCAGGAACCGAATACCCATCAATATCCGTATCGGCGCATAACACCCGAGGAAGGGAAACGGGCACGCCGATACTCATCCTCAGCGACTCCTTCACGACCCCCGTCTGCTCCCGAGACCGATATATCAGATGATAAATGTATAATAGGTAACAAGGACCGACCAAGTAGGGCAATTTCTCAAGAGAATCATATGACATGCGCAATCCCTTTTCCGGCCAGGCAGCTTTCAGCTCTGCAACAAGCTTCGTTCGCATCGAAGGGTCAGTGAGGATATGGAAGAAACCCATAGTCATCGCATTGCTCGTAGTATCAGTCCCCGCAAGGATCAGCGTTTGCGCCTAGTAGGTAAGATCCTCTTAATCAGTTACCGGCAACACAACATAGACGAAGCATACCTCCTCCAACAATGCTTTCCTCGATGGCCTCTCCCCATCCTCCAACAAACGATGATAAATCGTATCATGAACTGCTTCAAGAGTTCCAGGATCAGCCAGGATCTTATCAATCTGTCTCCCGAGCACCTTTTGCAGCCTGAAGATGCCTACCGATTCTGGGTTTATCATGGCCATCACGAATTCTGGGAGGCTGTACAAAAGTACGAGGATAGGGAGGTGGCGTACGGCGGTATTGGTGGCTACGGAGGCTTCCATACCTCGGATGATGGGATGAGCGAAGCCCAGGGAGTGGAGCGCATCAAATGATTGGGCGAAGCAGTATGCTGTAATGATATCCATAGCTGTGGCCTTGAAGGCTTGGTGCAGGTCGACAGGTTTTTCACGATATTCTTCACTAAGGATGCCCATCAATGTATCAACCTTCCAAAAGCTGTTAAGCCAACGTCCAGTCACAAGGGTTGTAAAAGAAACAAACCTTTGATTGGATGATGTTCTCCAGTTTCATGATCGATCGGCGTGAGAAGAGGGGATTGAGGATATCCCGCCTCTTTTTCACTAAAGCAGGATCGGTGAATCCGAACACGGAGTCGTTAACATGGAAGCACCAATAGAAGTTCCGGTCCTTTATGACGTTCGCCTGAGTGGAGTATATGGAGAAGAAGGCTCTGGGAGTATTGAAGTGTAGCTTAGAAGCAATAATCGAAGCAATAACCATGAGCCTTAAGGGTATTGAAGGTAATGAAAAATACTAACCTCGTTAGGCGATATACGGACCACTGGACCTACAATTGCTCAACATCGATTGACGAAGTCAGTGTTTGAACCACCTCACCATAAATGCGATGAAGACGCTCCAATTCTTTGGTGAGCATTCCATCTCGGATCGTCTCCCAGTACGCTACATACCACGATGTGAGCGCGGCAATTTTTGGCCCAGGAAACGCTCTGAGAGGATGGAATATGAGCCGGGACAGAACGCGATATATGCAGAAAATGAATATGATAGAGAGAAGAAGCATCATCAGGACTGCAGGAGATATCCAGTATCATTCAGCTTTATAGTAACCAACAAAGTCCACCACTCGCACAAAAGCAGTCTCCATTCATGCACATCTAAGGAATAGCAAGCAAGTGACATAAAGGAAGAACGTCGCATGAGTGAACGCGTGAACAGCAGGTCAAGTTAGCGAAGCAACGCGCAGGCGGTGACGTAAGACCAGCGCCGCAGTTAGTTCTTCCGGGGATATGCCGGGATTGACGTTTTCGCTCTACGAATTGCACGAAACCAATGAACAGGTTCCCTCTAGATTGCTTCACTATGTATTCCACAGACGCTTTGATATTCTCCGTCCCATTGTCTGGACCATTTCCGCACATTCTTGTTCTATCGCATCTTCATTCCAACAGAATCTTTTCTCCCACGGCTTTGACTGTTCGGAGTCTGCCGCGAACCGGCCGCGTGTATTGGACACCAACGACACCTTATCATAGCTTCTTGGTAATATATTTCGGGAAGCCGCGGACTTAGCAATTGGGCCCCGGGGAACACGACTCCGTGGAGTTAAAAGTCGAGTCAGGCGAGTAATTCTATTTAAAAGAGCACTCTTCGGGTACGTATAACGTGATCATAGTCTATATACAAAGGGACTCTCTAATGCTTGTTTCGCAGAAGGTTTTCATCTTGTATCTGAGGAATCAACGGAACACTCGCATATACTCATGGTACATCGGTTCGCACACTCTCCTGGGGTTCGAATCGCTGACTGTGGGATGCATAGTAGAAGTTGGTGTCGTTTTTTTAATGTGTCTCAGACCAGATATCTACTTGTCCAGGTGTGTAAAGGCGATCTGTCACCTGCGCTGCTGTAGACATGATATTCTAAAAATTGAAATCGATCTGTCATTCAATTTTGTCACAGAAGAAAGAAGGGTCATTTCCAGCACACGTTTTAGCGATAACGATTGGAGAGACAGGAGTGTGACCTAGTATATTTTCTCTCTGTTGAGGTCTGGTGCGATGAGACGAACTTCTTTCTTAACGAACCGAAGCTAACAAGCCATAGTGAATCTACAGTCCGCGCCTGTGGTTCATCTATCTGGCCGACTCAGTGCTTGTCACTAGAATTTTGCGGGGTGGCACTGAAAGACGATGGCCAAAATAAAATAAAAAGCGGTCAAGATTTTGCATACACACCTATTTCGCCTTCAAGACGTTGAGTTTGGGTTTTTTGTTGCTCTGATCGAGTCGCACCGTATTCGCAGGCCTAGATAAATTAAGAGTCCCATGTCGATTCTCGACACTAAACAGTCTACTACAACGCATCTCGACGATCCTGCTCTCAAACCGCCTTTTTGCACCTCAACATTACGGACACTATCATTCATACCTTATCGACTGTACCATCAGACGACCGCATATCAGGAAGTTATGTCCTTCCGATTCCTCTGCCACGGTTGCGAAAAAATGGACATCGCCTTGGAACCCATCGTTGTATGTCAGTGTGGTGAATTCTGGTGCTCCTCGCTATGCCTAGAAGTAGTACGTGGCATCCAATATGTTCCCACTAACGAACAACTAAAATCGTGAGTCCAGTTCTTTGGAAGCCATTTCACCGACGCTCCACATCTAAAACATGGATTTTTCGATTATTTTCCAAGACCCGACCAGGAAATAATATCTCAGGATCTACGGAGAACCAATATTCGAGGTCTCATATTTAACCAAAACCGTGCGTCTTCACCTCGTTCTTCGTATTTTCAAACTCAAAATAATGGCGTTAGGCTCTGCTCCTATAGAAATTTCTCTCACGTTCTTATACAGACACGGCGAGATACCGGATCATATACCGATTCTGTGGGCCTACTTTCGCCCAGACGAGCTCGCCTGTCGGAGGGTCGGTGAACGAGGGAGTGACCCCCCTTTTGAGCTTTGGTACCATAAGAACCAAATGCAGCTTTTCGTCCAAGATCCCAATTCTGTGAATAACACGATTGTCAGCCTTACCGATTCTCTTGAGGTACAGAAATTATGGTACGGCCCAGTCATCGCTGTAATACTCCAGAGAGACGAGGATCAGTTGACGTACACAAATGTGGAATCCTATCACATGGACGTTGTCAGAAGATTTTTCACGAGTTATACTTGTCCCTGTGTCGTTTACTGAGTGGGACATTAATCAGACCGTTTATCATTACAGAAGCTAGTTCCTATATATATCATAGAATCCATCTCGTTCCGGGGACTCATTCAATGCAGGAGTTTTTCACGCATTCCTGATTTCCGCCAGTCTGATTGAGGTTGAAAATGAGTGGTGAATATCTGCCCTATGACCTTACGTATTGTGGACGATATTTCCTTACATCATCCTCACAAGAACTGCTATTCTTCCTCGATCGCACTCCAATCGTCTACATCTACATGTTAGACAGTTTCCCATTCTGGAGAATATTCCGACATAGAAGACTCGACTGCCACACAGGCTGAAATGAGCTTGCCACAGTTCAGAACAGGTGGTACTGGGAGTTGCAAATTTCAACTATTTGGCTAATTCTATACAGATTACGAGCTCTTCATTAACGTTGCATGGGGATGTCCACCCATATAATATACTCCTTGCAGCCAGCATTGAAAGTCTAAAGCACATCGTTCATATCGACTTGTCAAAATGTAACGTGCGATTTATTAATGCAATGATGGAGGAATTGTGGCATAACGACTCACGATCTTCAGATTGTGGTCGGGTCCTGATGTTCCTCTGTTGTCCAAGGCATCGTAAATATATCATTGAATTTGCGAGCGAGGAGGGAAGGCTGGGAGATGGTTACTGCCATACAAGCTCGTTCAAGCCGGACGGTTTATCGACACGGACCTCTGGAATGTCATAAATTTTCATTTTGCGGTCGAAAAACTGTATCACATCAGGTATCTTGGGAAAACTGATGCATCATCGGAGGTTTCGAACAAATGCCGGAGGGTGTAAGCTGATTAGCAAAGTTTCCTCTACCCGCTTTTTAATACCCTCTTCATGCTGGAGGCCAGCAATTCCTAACCAGGAAACAACAAAGAATTCATTTCAGTATGCGACGACAATACCTGGAGGTGACCTAAGGAAGGCCTGTCCACAGTCGATGAACAAGGTTCACTTCGGCACTGTTGAGTATTGTCTATAGACTCCTTCTACCTAGGCGTGAACACCGCTCTACACAATCGTCTTGTCTCCCTTCAGTACTGCAAGTCCGAGTGAGCGCTGAAACTGTTCGCTCAAAATGGATACGGTAATCCACATGTCGATTAGAGGTCGTGATGGCGCTAGGGGGAAGATCAGATGTGGCGGGCCATGCAAGTTGACGAGATTAGGAAGCAAAGTGGCGGATGTATGCGTGAATAAATGTTGAGTCGGCGTAGAAGTGGACGGAAGCGACAACAGAGGCGGCATGGGAAAGAGAGATAGTCGGCTGGGTGTGGTGGGCGCGGAGAGAAGTTGGGCGCGGGTCGGGGTGGCGGGAAGTGCAGAGATGAAGAGTCATCGTCGTCGTCATCGAGGAGGGCAGGAAAGAAGACAGATCCAACCTTGGTCAGGTCATCCAGCCATGTAATAATTCAGACTCGAACGTGCGCAGACGGATGAGTGTGGACAAACTTGATGTGGATGAGTGGTGGTGCACGGTGTGGATGTAAAAAGAAGGAAAAGAAAGAGAGCGCAAACTGTCCATACTGGCGAGTACTTTCGGTATAAGATACGTCCGAGTCTGTGGCGACGACCATGCTGAGACGCATATGGTATGCTGCCCTGTGACAAGGAAAACCTACAGTGCGTCGTCATGCCTAACATCTGACATGTAGGGCTTGCCATAGGAAAAGGTCTGTGTGCCACAGAGAAAATATCGAGAGATCAGCGCCAGTGCAGGGATCAACGAGCATGGAAGCAATGAGGGAGGTGTGGCGAGGACTTCCAACAGCAAAGGCGACGCTCATCGCGTCTGTTGTGTCGGGTGATAGGCAGGGAGATGTGGGACCGGAACTCGCTGAGCATGCACGACACTCAGGCACTCCTCGATCGACGGTCCATGTCCAGATAGCCTACAAAAGTCATACAATGAAGAAGAAACCTTGCTCTTTTCCTTATATTCCAACATGAACTCTCCCGTGATCCACCACGTCTGCGACGCCTTCATAGTAATCACCATCCTCTTTATCAGCTGGTCTTTTGTGTCGCAGTTGGAGCAACACTGTCGTTGGTCGTTGTCACCGAGACCCTGCATCTACTGCCAGCATGCCTTTCGGGGGTTCTACCCCCTGGATTGTAATTGCTTGATTGAGTAACTTTTTACGGTTCCCTTGGTCAGAGATCCCAAAGTCAGCTCCCGCCTCCACTCAATTCGTCATTGAATTTGTCGCATATCAATCTGGATTCGGCCGTGAAGTAAGAGGATCACCCTGTGCACAACCTGTAATGATGACTGTAGAAACGGAATAAAAAAGAATTTCTTGTACCCGACTCGAATTACTTGGTACTGAGACGAACCTCTCAGCCTCTCCTGCTTGATGCTAAGAGACGTCCTGAAACCCTATCTGAATCGAAAATATGCCACTGTGGTACATCCGTCTAGTTGACGCTCTTTCCGGGTTCGACTCCCGACAAAGAGAATACGTCCAGGATATGTAGGTTTTTGTTTGTGATGTGGGGTCATGTAAAACTTAGTTGCTTTACAATAGAAATCCATCCTCTATGGAAGGACCTCGCTTGTAAGCTCGTATTCGAAGATCGGTGGAACGAACCATCTTCGAAACTGAGGTTGTTAATTCGTCGTGGTACTTGTACCACATCGGTTTACCATGCGTTGTATCCTCGGGTTCGACTCCGGATGAACACATATGTAGACAGTGACTGTAATCCCTGTTTTGCACTATGAATACTTTGATGGTGATGAAGGAGTCAAAAAATATTGTATTTTAAAGGATAGAACCTCTCAGATACTTACCACTCTGACTCCTGACTTTGTCATTCACCTCAGAGATTCACTTGCTTCAGACGATTCAGAAAAAATTGAAGACCTGTTTTCTCTGGAGGATGTCACTCCTGCTAGTATACTTCGCATGGATAGTATACAACAAAGCAGTGTTCTTGACTTTTGCACCCTGTCGGGAAATGGTCCTTACCTTTCACTGGACCTGGTCAAGTCATTGGCACGAAAATTTTCCTGTGTTCGACACTTGGACGGAACTCCTTCACTGTTGTTGCGTAAAAATATTATCTTTTTGGGCAGCCCTACATGCCTGGCGAGCTTGAACGGGGTCTGATTTCGAGTGACATTCAAAGGATGTATACAGGGAGATTTTCTATCCTTGGTTCAAAGATCCCTACGTGTTTAATGCACCCGCCCCCCTAGATGTCATGGCTTTTGGTTGAAAAGACAATTCCCAACCAGTATTGGTGCGTTGGTTAGAATTCGCATTGGAGTTCTGGGTTCGCCTCCCAGTCAGATTAATAGCTGGTGGATTTTTACAGTTCTGTTCTTCTCCAGCTTATCAGTTCCTGTTTCTATAAAATAGCAAGTGTCTGATGGCGCACTGGATAACGTGTTCATAGGAAATCTGGGTTCGATTCTCAGGCGAGACAGTTGCGTAAAACTGATCGTCAGTGCCAAAGCATCTTTTTAATGGTCCACCTTGATCTTGCCAGGCATGATTTTCATTGCCCCGATTTCGTTTTATGTTTCCTTGCCTGGGAGAGTAGACTAGAGAGTTTTCCTACTCTATGATAGTTTGAATCCCAGTCAGTGAACTGGGACGTACACTCGGAAATTTCCTTCTGTGTTCTGTACCGTCGGTAAACAGCGCATTGGTATTGAGACACCGAGTCAGAGAAAACGGTAACACTGTCCGTTGTTTCCGCCTTAGGTAGCAACATTAAGTACGTGTATCGGTTATACCTGCCAATTGGGTTCGACTCCCAGGCGGACTTTGCCGCAGAAGAAGCAACATACAGAAGATTTTTTAGCGTTTAAGGGTATTCATTAGGAGGATGTTCTCCCACACATCCAGTTATCGAAGAGCCCTGTTTTCCATCGCAGCGATCAAGAACAGTCAGGACTGCCTGCATCCATGGACAAAATTTGAATAGCCATTTAAATTTGTACATAGTATGTCTCTCCACAATGGGATCTGGTGGTTCATGGTATGTTCAGAGAGGTGGAATAACACTACGAGGATGGACAATGATAATCGATTACAGGATGCGGGAGATTGGAGTGCGTCGAGGAAACGGTATGTGTGGGTCGACGTCGACGTGGATAAATCCTATCCATTGTTGGGTCATCGTAGACCGCCTCTTGGAGCGAAAACGCGACCAGATCAGTGGAACGTTGACGGTGTTTCTCATAGACTTCTCGCGGAATCCTTAAATGAAAGCCGGTCGACCGAGTGGTGTATAGGGCCGGGCCGTTCTCATGATCTCAATACAGGTAGAAGCACCGAGAACAGCCTCTTCCAATGATCTTGTATGGGATCATATCAATTTTCTCTCCAAGCACCCAAACTTGACCCACACTATTGGGTTTAGAATGTCCATAAGTGCAAGCAGCTGGACGAGGAGGACGACGGCGTGTCAGGAAAGGAGATTGCCAATTGGAGAGCGACGTGCGCATGCACTATCCCAGCCTCGAATTATCCGCGTTTGGTGTGACGGCCTCCAACTTTTACGCCAACAACCAAGCATCTCCATCGGTGATGTACGCACCCAAGAAAACAAGTTCGAGTCCGGAATTGTTTATATCAGCTAGACACAGTGTTCGACTCCCAGACCACTCCGGAGTATTCGTCAGAACCAGAGAGTCGCACTTTTTTGAGAGAGTCCTCTGGATTTATGGATGTTTAGATGAAGCTTCTTCTTAGGGTTCGGTTCAATGAAGTGTGGTTTTCTGGGATTGCCTCTTTGTATGAAAACGCTTACGGTAGGATGTCACTCAGCTACTATTGGGGAATGGCGAGCATCACATCTATCTCGACCCCCGATGAAGATATGTTCTTGATTCTCTTTCCTGGGTAACTCTGAACGATGACTTGAACACATCCCACTGTGATTGTCGATTCAATTAGCCTTCTAATGACAAACTTAGTTTAGCGGTGGATCGATTAGAGCATGTGTGCAAAATCTGAGTTCAACCCTCTGAACGCTAGGTTGATTCAACAACTTATCATAGGTTCTTGCCAAAATATTCTGGAAAGTTGTGGATTTGACCATTTGGCCCGCATGGAATCATCCCATGCATGACTCAGTGCAGTTGAAAGTCACGCCAAGTGAGTAAATTTCAAAGGTCACTCTTCGGACATGTATAACATGATCATACTCTACAGGCACAGGGACTCTAATGCTTGTTTTGCAGAATTTTTCATTTTGTATCCAAGGAATCAGGGGAACATTCGCATCTACTCATGGTACATCGGTTAGCACACTCTCCGGGGATTCGAATCCGTGACTATAGGATGTGGTGTAGAAGAATGACGTTGTTTTTAAGTTCCCCACATTCGAAGATCAGTGGAACGAACCATCTTCGAAACCGACGTTGTTAATTTGCCGTGGTGCTTGTACCACATTGGTTAACCGTGCGTCGTATCGTCGGGTTCGACTCCCAACGAAGACATATGTAGACCCGGAAGTGTGCCCTATTTTTTGCACTATGAACAGATTAGTGATGTTGAAGGAGTCAAAATATATGGTATTGAAAAGGATGGACCCTCTTACCTGCCTACGGCACTGACTCCCGATGCCATCATTCACTTCATTGCTTCGGAAGGTTGTCAAAGATCTGAGGATGTGTCTTGTACATGAAAACGAGTGTGGCAGGACGAAGAGAGGGCAGGCTATTGGGGGATGTCAATTGATAGTGAGGCTGAGTTTGACTTCAAGAACCTGTAGTGATGTACGAGTCGGGTCGTGGTGGATTTTTTACGCTTCCGCTGGGCTTCAGGGCATCAGTCAATGCCAAGATATGAGTATGACAGCCTCATGCCCACAAAGTCCTGCCTCAGAGAATCAGGCTCAGGTTGGGCTCGGCTTGGCCTTTTCGGTGGGCTTTTTCAATCTATTGGAAATTTGGCATGAAGTGAGGTATAGATGTCATCCTCATGCCAAGTTCTGTTGTGAATCATCGTATTTATGCTTCAATACCATAAAGTCATACTTATCATGTAAACATTCAATATTTAAATGCTGCCTTAACTGACCAGGGGTTTGGGTTTCCATACTTCAAGCCTGAGCCTTGGGCCCGGCAAAGCCCTCCATCGGAGTCGGGTTGGGTCACAGGCTTTAAGTATGACATGGACATCATTACGAATAAGCTCTCATGGAAGAAAGTATTCTTGGCTTCATCACCACAGAAAAAATACCTTCCCTACCACTGGACCATAGTGACCAAGTCTCTTCTATTCCCTCGGTTCGTTTCCCCAACAAAGCACTATGCCATACATTTTTTTCTATGTGTATGATGAACTGGAATATTTTTTGACCTCTAAGTCTTTTCAGTGTCATTCAATACCAGAGTGACATGGATCTATTCATAAAGCAAGAGTGTCAGTATATACAGGGAAATCTTCTGCTCTTGGTTCATGCTGTCCTAGATGTCAGGACTTTTAGTTCAACAGAAAAGCTTCTACAAGTACATTGGTTAGAAGTCACACTCGGTTTGGCTCTCAACCAACATGTCAGTGGTATGAGTTTTCCAAGGCTTTTTACAGTTCTCTATGTTACTGCCTGCTGTTCCTATGGAATAAGAAGTGTCTTGTAATGCAGTGGCTAATGTGTGCATGTGAAATCCGGATTCAACTCTCAGCCAAACTGTGGCATAATCAATTGATAGCTCCTAGGGATCCTTTTCTTTGTCCATCATGATCTTGCCCAGTATTGACTTTCATTATCCCAATTTCATTCTATATCTCCCTATCTGTGAGAGTAGATAAGAGAGTTTGTCTACCTTATCATAATTGGCATATGCATCTGAATTCCAGTCATGAACTGAGACATATACTTGGAAGTTTTCTGTCTTTGCTATGATCCCTAGGAGAACAGCACATTAGTGCTGAGACACTGGGTTGGAGAAAAAGGTAATGGCTATTGTCCCTGTCTTAGGTAGCGATGTTAAATATGTATATCAGTTATGCCTGCTAGACAATGGGTTCGATTACAATTTAAGATATATGAAAGACAGGATGAAACATGCAAACTTGTAGTAGTTGTGGTATCCCAGACAGCTGTGTTGTTGTCACTAATGTCTTCCATATCTGCATATTGGTCAGTACAATGCAAAAAGGAACTGGATGAAGGCACACCTGAAATGAAGAAATATTTGAATCCCAGCATTACTTAGCCATTCCCAAAGACCCTTTTTCTCAGTTACAATGCCAGACATGAGATTCTGTTATAACCAGGAGAAAGATGATTCACTTAGTCAGGTCTGCACCATTTCTGGCTTTCTTACTTGATACACCAAGAAAGGATTCAGGGTGTTATGATTTTTCCTCTTTTCTTTTCTTTTTTTCTTGATTTATCCAGGATTGACCCCTATTTCTGCTTAGTCAGAGTGCCTAAACCTGGGGCTTAAGACTGTGGAAGTGCTTAGTCAACAGCACCACCCCAATTCTGTTCTGTTGCTGTTCTGTTGCACTATAGCATGAAGGCAGAGAAGCCTCTCTTATCTTTGTGCAGCAGTAACAGCAGCTCAATACCTTTTGTAGATATCTTAACAACACTGGACAAAATGCTACACAGCATCAGCAAGGACAATTAGATAATTATATTCTTAGAACAATAACAGATTAGTATTTAAGTAGCATAGCTCTTGCTGTAGTAACCCCAGCTTCAAGCTAAAGTTTATTCTTCACCATCTACTCTCAAGTGACTTGCAACCACCTTGATCACATAACTCTGATAGTGCATCAGTGAACTTGATCATTTTACCTGAAGTGCAAGGTAGTGGTCATTTATCATGTGCTATTGGTCATGTGGAATTTGAGCTTAACACAGGGCAAGAGCCAGCTAATCATGGTCACTGAGTTATAGATCATATCTTAAAGGGGTTGGATAATCTATTGTTTGCCATTTATACAATATTCTCATAAAGCATGTCCAATATCCAGTGTCAAAATTGGTGCTGGAAGTGAAAATTTCAGTGCAATCCAAACTGAAGCTAAAGATGTCTTAGAAGGTCTCCCAAAAATAATATGCTTAGCCAATACTGCAGTTTGATATACTACCTATGCCTATAGCACAGAAGCTGCAAAATGAAGTCAGGAAAAAGGACAGTGAGAAAGGAAGCCATTCTTTTGGATTAGTTGGGATTGCACTTTCCAGGCTGTGCATCTGGCTAGGGTTGAAGTTGAACCTCCAGCACCAGTTTTATTCTTTGCATCTACTCCATTTTTCCTGTCCTCAAAGTATGTGGGCTTCATCTGCCTTGTAATTGAATATTCACACAAAAATGACAGATGGACCTGTCTTCTGTCCTTCTGCTTGAAGTTGTCCAGAAGATCTTCCATCACTCTCTGAAAGATTGCAAAGTTCCTGTGCAGTCATTTGATTTTTCCGATGGCCTGTAGGTCTTAGGACAAGTAAACAGTGTGTAGAGGAATGCCTCTTTGACATCAAAGTCATTCTGGTTGAGCATAAACATCATAGTGGGAAATTTTGGCTTCAACACTTCTCAGCTCAAATCTAGATGACTCCACAGTGAATCTGCTGAGGATAATGGGGAGATGCCTCCTGTGGTTGATGTAGACTCCATCAATAGTTGAGAAGAGGATAAGGATACTGTCTACATCATATCTAGTAGCACAGCAAACCAAACTCTCACCAAAATCCTTTATCACTCCAGAGATGTCCCTCTCAATGTCACCCTATTCTTCTGGATTGTCAGCACAGTTCCTCTCATGTGGCAACAGTTTTTTTCCATCCTCTCCACATCCTCTTTCTATTGGAAAATGCTCCATCGCAATGCTCCAAATGCTTTCTGAGAAATTTTTGCCAGAACCTCTGCTCCAGTGAGCTGTCTACTGCTACATGATCTGTGTGTGACTTTTGAGGAATCATCCAATATCATCTCTCCCATTGCATATGCTTGTCCCAATGTGGTAACATTGGCAATTCACTTTCACCTCCCCAATAGCTTCATCAATGTTTCCAAAGATCCTGTTACAGTGCCAGTTCTAAGGCATCTCAAAGCTGATGATCCAGGAATACTCAATGAAATTACTGCACCAGATCTGAACTACCTATCAGTGTGTAGTATCATAGTTTGAGAAGAGGAATCATCTAAGATCATCACTTTTCTGATATGATCCCAATGCTCTCATCTTACTGAACTGGACTTATCTTGGTTTGGTATCTCTGAAGATGCTGTTGACATCTGGTCTCACATCCCTACACTAAAATGTCTGTCAATTTACTTCTACTTCAAGGAAAGCTTCTTCATTGTGGTGAAGTTTATTCCTTCTCTCCTACTACAGCTACAGAAACTGAAGCTTGTTGGTAAGTCCAAAAATGCTATCTCAGACAGTAATATTGTACTTGACATGTTTGAGGTGAGACTCACAGGTGGAGTGCTAGAGGTTGTCAATATGTCCATTCTCCTTGGAAGCATTTCACAGTCCTGATTAGATGTCTTGAATGCTATTCCAAATATCAGTATCCATATGTCATAGGATGATACAAGTACCTGATATCAACCTTATATAAGTATAGACAGTTTTTGCCCTGAGTCAATGGTTAATTCTCCTTAAGCAATTGACCATCATACTCAGTCTGGCCATTATTCTGTTAGGCTTAAGCTGCACATGATTAGAAACACATGATAAACTAGCATAGCTTTGCATTTGAGCCTTCCACTAGAGTCCACTTGTGTATTCCTTGATTGAAGTGCTTCAAGGCATAAGGAGATAGCTCAAGAGTAGAATGAGTATGAATAAACTTTAGCTTGAAGCTGGAGTTATACCCATGAGAGCTGTCCTACCTATATACATGTCTTAGTGCTACTATAAATACTCCTACTTATTATATCTGTGGTAGTTATTGTGCTCATTGTCTTTGAGCATTATTATCATCTACAATAGTGTCACTGTGCATTGTCGGGCAATGCTGTTGCATTGAAAGACAATGGCCAATTGGGCTTGTTGTGATGACTAAGCCAATCCCATGGTCCTAAGCACTGGTTTAGATGCTCTGACTAAGCATAAATAGAGGTTACTTCTGAAGAATAAAGGAAAAATTGTAACATATTCACTGTGCAAATAACCTGCCTGCAACACCATGTTGAACCTGAATTCAATAGTAGAATCCATCTTTTCATGGATATTTAAATGGTGGAGATTATGATGCAGATAGAGCTTATATAATATGATCATGCAAAAGAAGATCTTTATAACCCTTGTCTCTCACCTTCCAAAGCCTTGAAATTTTGTAACATACAGACATTAAGAAGTTTTGCTATCATCAAATGATTCAGAAAGTGGTCAAGCTGTATATTTCTAACAGTGGATGAACTCAAATTATGATAGAAAATAGTTATATCTGAATAACTTTGTTCAGTTCATTTCATCAGTTCATGACTGCTAATCATTATACTCCCTTTGCATCTGACAGCCTGAAATACTTGCCTGATTCATGGGTAACCAGAACTATGCAATTGATGTTTGATTTGCATATGATAACAACAGTATAAGACTGACTTTGTTTGCTTTGATGCATTTTTTTTCTTCTTATTGTCTATAACTTGCCTATTGAATGCTGGAGTTTGAATCTTCAAATTACATAGACCTGTATATTATCTAATGTCAAAAGAATTATCTTTTGATTCTTTCTAGGAGTAACTCATAGGATCAGGAGGACTATTGGTCTCTATACAAATATTAAATTAACAATGAAATATATGAATAAAGTGATAAGTCCACAAACTGATATCCAAACTAAAGATATACTATCATCCTGAAACCAAATTCACACATTGTGATGCTGCCCAGAAAAGCCAGCATCTGGAAACCAGACACAGGCAATGCATATAAGGGATTCAGTACATTGACTTCTCTTCCTATGCTCTAGAACAAAGCATATAAAGAAGACTCTTTGTTAACATCCCATTCATGCAGCACTCATACTATTCACATATCAAAGAAGTACCATATAATCATTTTAACCCTCATTAAGACATCACTCCAATGGTGACACATCTAGTGTGGTAGTATAAGGTGCCTGGTATATAGACTTAATGTCTTGGATCAGCTCACTCATACTTTCTTTTTTAGTTTGCCACATCTTTCTCATATCTTTCACTGCTGTCTCTACTGCTTTTCCTCTGATTCTCTTTTATAGGCTTTTATACCATCCAAGCATGACACTGTATTGCTCATTGACCAATGAGCATGTGTTAGAGGCTTGCAATCTCAAAAGACCCATACCTTCAAGATCTTGACACTAATATTGAGGTGGCTCATCTCTCCAACAATAAAGCTGTTTAAAGCATTGGAAGGAGGATTAGTATGGGTTATTTAAATGTCTAATGCATATACCAGTTCACTTTTTATTACTTTTCTATTCATTAAATTTCTCTCCAGTTCAATTTAACACAACACCCCTCTCTACTCTGTCTGATGTGAAGACCAAAGCCAACAGCAGATGATGCCTACTTAAAATGTGCTGGAGATCAAGATACAATGACTTGGACCACCATTGGTATGCTGAGTGGGGCAGTGTACTCTCTCTATGCCATAATTGCATGTATCCTGGGTGGTTTAGTCTTGCTTGAAGCTGAGGTAAATGAGCTAGGATATTCTCTTCCTTCTGAAAATTTTGTTTTAGGATACTACTATATACATGAATCCAACATGTACAGGCCCTGGCAACATATGATCATGTGTGTGGCTACCCCTGGCCTCTCTTTTTTATTGTACTTGTCTAAAAATTTGATTTTAGCTTTCTTTTTTCTTTTGATCACTGAGTATCAAACCTTTGAGTGAGTGAAGAGTCTTAAATTTTGACCCTGTGAGTGGTTTCATAAACTACTTACTCAAATTATCTCTAGATACATTTGATCTCAACAAACACCCTATATTTCCCCTACATCCAGCTAGTTTGCAAGCAACTCATAGCCTCACACAATCATCTACATCAGCAACAACATATAATGCAACACCAGAGGAATTTCTTCTGCAGTGCAGAGCATATTATAAGCCAGAGTGTGCCAGAGTGGGTTGCCAATACTGACTGTTTCAGGCAGAAAGCCTTAAATGTGAGATCTAAAGAAATGGCAGTCAAGAATAAGAGTGATTCTATGTCTCTTGGCATGGAAATTTTGCTGAGGAGGGTGCTGAAATCTCAATTGCAGAGTACAGAGATGATGCAATGCATCTGTTTGTTCCAGTGGTTCCAGGATCAATGGACTAGAATGCATCAATACTTTCAATATCTTTTTCACAACATGTCTAGTCAGTATTATATATAGCAAAATAGACAATGATATTACTGTATCTGCTTTCTGGTAGGAATCCAGAACCTTGATATCAATCACTGTTCCTATATTTCTTTCTCTAATCTCTGCCTCATGACACATCATGATAGGCTGGTTTTCTTCAACTGGAATCCTATTAGAAGAAAATCATGACCATTATGCTCCTTTAGCAGTTTTCTCCCTACATGCAGATATAATATTGCCATAATTGATATTGAGATTGTTATTAATACAATAGAAGCATCTTGAGAATAACAGTATGGTGGAGACTAGCAAGCTGTTGCATGAAGCTAATTCTTTAGAATCACCAAGAAGAGATATACAAATGATTTGCTAGTATGCTGGAATCTCTGATGAGGTATGGTCACATGTCCAATGCATCAGACAGAGAAAAGCACAAAGGATAGTTTTGAAATGCCAGTGCAAAATGTCAAAGCATTGATATAGTGGAATGGCTACAGCTCTACAGAGACACATGCAGGTCAGTAACAATAAATGTACATTCACTCCTGGGTTGAAATCTAAGAAGAAATGACTGGATAATTGAGAAAATGCAGAGAGTAGTGGAAGAAAGTGGATCATACCTGAAAGTACAGCCCATGGCATATTCATTTATTATATTGAGACCTTAGGAAACCTGAGAGATTGGCATTGCATCAAATCAGCAGTAGATTTGACTGAAACAAACTCACATATAGATGCAGAGGAGCATGTAGAATTTTGTGTTTTTCTCTTGTATGCTTGCATTGCTTTATTTGCCTTTGCATTTGTATTTATATACACATATTTTATTGAATTTGCTTTGCATTTGATCAAATGTATTTCTTCATGTGACATGACTGATTTTCTCAAGTCTGAATCAGTATCCTGAGCAAATGAAACTTTAGTAGTCCATTATATATGGTACATTCTGTTCTAACATCTAGCAAGGTCAATGTTGGTGAGCATGAGATATATTGAGATTCAGTTTTCATGGCTTTAATATCATATTCTATTTATATATATTTACTGCTTATCTTATACTTTGACATTTTCATATCTATTGACTTGATTCAGAATCTCCACTGTCTATACTCTGTATGATGAAATATACCTTTCTTTCAAGTCTAGTACACCTCTCTCTGAACCATCAGCATCTAAATTCTAACAAGATAGAGTACAGCCACATCACATACTGAACAGGCATCAAAGAACACATTTTTGAACCTCTCACTCTACTACCATGTCTCCACCTGCTATTCTACTGCATAGAAGAGATTTCTGATCCTTTAAGTGATCATGGAAAACCAGGTATGCAAGAGGTCATTCTCATTTATATACTTTTCATTGTAAGCTATTCTAGAATAGCTGTGGTTTCTTGGCCTATATCTAATTCCCTTTACAGATATTCTCACTCTTAGTCTTTAATAAATTGGTTTTACAATTCTTTGTTGCACTATTTGCACACTGTTCAAGAACATGGGACAAGAGCATATCATTAGTGATATTTAATGTGAAATTTCAGCTTCATTTATTCAAATTAGAGTCAGAATCATGCTGCAGCAGGGGTATTCATCTTGACACCTTACCATAAAAGTTTTCATGGGTATTTTCATGAGTTGTAATAATATCCTTTCATAATATTCTGCCAATGTGTTCACAAAAAAGATATTAGGCACAAAATCACTTTCTGGCTTCTGGTCACTGACTCAAAATCTGAGGACAATGAAGAAGTTCATGAGGAGGACCAGTTCACAGCTCCTGATACAATGAAAGCTAGCCAGACTTCAAAAATTCATCTCAGAGGATTGGTCTCTATTTATAATCTTAACACTGGTATGTCATCTATCTGGAAGTCTCAGTACTTGACACTGAATGCACTGACAATAGCATGGAGCTTATGCACTAAGAATAGAAATCACATGGAACTATGAATATGATCTTATGCATGAGAAACACTGCATGTGATCTTTGCAAGAGACTCTCATGCATGGGACTATCATGTGAGAGACTGTGCATATGATCTTTGCATGGAAATTTGTGCAGTACTGATGTATGATGCATACCATGAGTTGGATTGATTGATGCATTCTGTGCCAGACACACATTGTGAGTAAGACAGAATATTCAGACACTCAGCTAAAGAACATATTAATTATAGCTGGCTCCAGACATGAGAGATAACTCCAGAAGCCTGGAAAATGTTCTGAGAATGGCAGAATAATCCTGAGAAGATAAGAAAGTGAAGAGACCTGTGGCTAGACCCACTAACAGAGCTACCTAATGTCAGGTTGCATAGAAACAGAGAGCACAGTCCTGACCCAAAACAGAATGTGCATGCCAGACAGTGACATGTGCAGGAATAGCTCATGAGGGACTCTGAAACAGAGCCTCATGTGTTGAAACTACTATATTAGATCTCTCTGAATAAGTAAGATAGTAGCCTATTTAAATACTGCATTGTAAAAGTAGTAGACAAGTTCTGACTCTCCACAGTTGCAGTGCATTAGGAACAAAGGCCTTGCACTCCAGCTCTGGGTTTGTGTTTGTTACTTTGGGTGAAGAAATAGACTGGTTATTGATATCATTAAGAAAAGTCTGAGACTGTGTAAGGCACAAAAGCTTGTGTGGAGCTCTAATTTGACTTGATAAGAGATTTTGAATTGTGCTCTAGCCTGAGAATAAGAGAGCAGTGTCTAAAGAACACTATCCTGAGTTTTTGAGGTATTTGTGATGTGAGACACTACAGGTGGCAGAGGTTCAAACCCTTTGGTCTGTCAGACAGTGTTTTATTGTGTTTGGTGTCTCTGGATCACATAAGTTTGAATCCTGTGGGTTTACAACCAGTTTGAAAGCTGGTATGCAGAGGTTTGAACCCTTTGACACTTGTGGACATGTTTGTAAAGTGTTTCTGCTTAGTGCATGAAGTTTTGAGTAATGTATTCTGTATATTAAGGATTTTGAGTTGATATGAGCAGTACTTGAAATCTTTTTGAGAGTCTTGTGAGAGTGTTTTAACATATTGTATTGAGCTACAGTACTCTTTGCCTTGAAGCTCAGCAACATTTGTTGCCACCTCTTGTTTTCTATAAATGAAATGCTTTGAGACTTAGAGAGGTCTAGAACTGTTATACTCATGCTATTGCTATTTGTGTGCAGTAGAATCATTTGAGAAGACAATTGGGCTTGCTATAGCTACTCTATCAGATTATAATCCTTCCAACAAACTAAGAAGTGTTATATGTGTGTTTGTTACAATTTTTCTACCTTTCTCTTGCTTTAAACCCTATTCATGCTTAGTCAGAGTGCCTAATCCAGCACTTGAGACCATAGGACCAGCTTAGTCATCACAACAAGCTGAGTCTGTCATTGTCTTCTGATGTGATGACAACTCTCAATGATGCACAACAACTCTTTTATAGATAGTAGTGATGCCCAAGGACAATAAGCACAAAGGCTCAGACAGACACAATAAGTAGTATAGGTAAGGGCTTGGCTATTACACTTTAAGATCTGGACAGACACCAGGGAAGATGGGGGGAGATGGATTCCATTAGTACCAAGTAGCTATGTACTTATACTATTTGTAGAGTGGCATGTAATAAGACAAAGGTAACTGGCAAAGACAATGTAAAATATTGAAAGAAAGGGGAAGGCTAACTAATGGTGACAAGTAAACACTATATAGACAAAGAAAGGTAAAAGCAAGATAAGGTAACAAAGAAAATGGTCAAAGAAATGGTCTAGAGCAGGTGAATCCTCTACAGTAGTATTATATTTATCTCAACAATGAGCAGTATATAAGTAGGCTAGCTCTCACTATATGTTTCCAGCTTTGAGCTAAAGTTTATTCTCTACCATTCTATCTCAAGCCTCTTGTAACAGCATTGAGATACAAAGCCACATGAATGCATATAGTGAACTCAGATGTGAC